ACATTCAAAGTAGCTTTTATTTGACATACTTATATAAAACTCAGAGTTATTTCTCGTTCACAGTGTCACAAATGGCTCTTATGACGTCCGAAAGATCGAAGGATCCGTTTGATGTGGTTAAGAAGAACCTCTCGCTGACAGATAGAAGGGCCACCTGCTCTCCTGTCACGCCTTCACAGCCACGGGAAAACAACTCTATATGACGGGTAATACTGATAACACTGCTATTACTTACACAGCTAATAAAAAGTGTAAGCGTATAGATCAGGGGTGTCCAATCCTGGTCCTCGAGGGCTACAGTCCTGCATGTTATAGATGTCTCCCTCTTCCAACACGCCTGATTCAAATGATCAGCTCGTCATCAAGCTCTGCAGAAGCCTGATAACGATCCTGATCATTTGAATCAGGTGTTTTGGAAGAAGGGAAACATCTAGAACATGCAGGACTGTGGCTCTCGAGGACCAGGATTGGGCACTCCTGGTATAGATAGTGGATGGATCTGTTTCACATTTGGTACAACATGTTCTCAAGGAAGGCGGCGACAGGAGTGATCAAACCAGAGACTCCACCTCTGATGGAGGGTGCAGCTGCAGGTAGAATGGGGTCACGTACGTCTCTGCCTGTGGAGTCTGTAACGGCGCTACATGCAGAAACTGCAGTCATGACATTGTTGAGTCTGAAGACGATGACTCTTGAAGCTCCTGACATTGTGAATGAGAAATAATATATAGGTATGTGAAATAAAAGCTGCTGTGGATGTAAATTTAAAAGTGAGTGTGGCCTTTTTCAACAATGGAGTGTTTGTGGTGAAACATAAATGCTAACAATCAACTCAGAATCATGAAAAAAACCCTGATTTGACCCCTCATAAGTTCCTTAAGGCCAGATTTTTTTTAAAAATCGATTTTCGACAATCATTTATTAACTTGAGCAGGTTTTTTTTCAGGGTTTCCCACAGGAGTTCAGCATTTTAAAACTCGTTATTACACACCTTTACAAACATATTGCTGAAGAAATTGTTTGGTAACGATTTCGTTGGCAGATTTGTGAAACATCTCATAAAATGTCCTGACTATCTGTTCACCTCGTTCATGCCGCCTCTTCGGTTTCCTGTTAGGATGCTCGACGCTGAACTCTGATGAAGTTGATAAGATTGTTTCTAAATAAATACATTTCATCGATCGTTGTAAATATTTCTGGCATTGTCATCTGAAGCCACAAGATTATTTGTTGTTGTTTTTTTTCCTTGCAAAATAAGATGCATACAGTAAGTATAACCCTCAGCCACCTGGATGTTTAGGTCAACTTGTAATAATGAAAATTTAAATAAACATTTTATTTGATCAGCATTTCAGACACAAAATGCAAACTTAGGACTTACAGTGAACTAAACTTTTTTTTAAAAAACAGCAACTAACCAGCTGCCTCTATTTGCAAACTGGAGGATTTCATAATCTAAATCAATCATGATGCATCCTCACAAGGGTTTCACACATTTTCACTATAATATTCAATTTTTGTCATATTTATTTCAGTGTGTTACCTGAACAAATAGGTTTTTTTTCCATCTTTGAAGTTTCTTCTACTTTCTTCGTCAACGTGGTGGGAATTTTCCTTTAGACATTTTCAAACATATGCTATTTTTCATCGCATCTGAACGCGTCGGCTTCGTGTCTGAATTCACCGAATGAGCCCATTTTTCTGTCTTACGAGGTTCGACCTGGTAAAATTAATGGATCACTGTCTCCACAGCACAAATCTGAAATGCAGTGTAATTAATGGAAAGGCTCCAGATCAGAACGTACCGACTGTCCCATCTCACACACGTTTCAAACATCACACATCTAATCTGAAGTGAGCTATGTCTGAATGACAGAACTTTAATTTGGCAATTTTAAAAACCCTTCAGTAAAGAGACTCTTAATACTGGCTACACTATTTAAAAAAAAAAACTGGATTGACTTTCCTCACATTTTGCTCAGTCTGACCCCTTATCAAAGCCGTGATGAGGTGCGTTTGGTTTCTGGCTGATTAGAACCGATTAACGAACTAAAAATGGCTGCGTGGATGTGCAGGCTCTGTGTGCAGAAGGAAGGTCCGTTACACTCCTCTGTGGGGCAGGAAGAGAAGCGGGAGAGTCAGAGAACAAAGTCGGCGTGATAATTGTGGGAGGGCGATGGTGGGCTGGGAGTGATGGTGGGGGGATTTCACCAGATTATCCTATAAATAGTGTGGCGAGTTTCCTTCAGTCATCAAGCCCAGTATGCAACTCTGGCACACGAGTGATATAACTGTTCTAAAAATTAGCCCTGGGCTTATACCTCTGCACAAGTTAATACCATTCTCCACGAGACTTTAGGAGTTGCTGAGCAGGATTTGAGCATGATGAAGTTAATCACTGCACTTGGGGGGGTGGGAGGGGAGGAAGAGGGGAGAAAAAAAAAAAAAGTGATCCGAAAGTCAGCCTCTGTCTTTTTCCATAAGCTTGTTTCATTTATGCGACGGCACATTTACTGGTCCTGCGGGAGTCTATTGTGATCTCTGCTGGCTTTGGCGAACGCAAAGACAAATTGACCTTCACGTTGGATTGACTGGAGTGTTTTATTTTTTCTCCTTTTTATGGGATCAGAGTGTGTTTGCAGCATGTGGTGGTGGGATGGCACTCCTCAGCTGAGCTCAGCCAGAGAGCTGAAGGGTATTTTAGGTCAGTCGCTACCAAGTGTTTGGACCACCTACATGTCTGTCTGACATAGTCTATTTAGCCTTGAAGTCATTATGCTAAAGGACGACGTTCTAGTCAAACATCCTAACACCTTGTGGACTCGTGTTGCTGTATAGTTCTTCATAAAATGACATTTTATTCTCCTTAACAGCACGACACTTTTTCTCTTTTAGGCATGAGAGAGCCGAGTCACCAAAAACTATACATCACAAGGATCAATAACTGGATCCAGTGCCTATCAAATGTCCATCTATCAATCCAAAAGGTCAACTGATCTCCAGAAGCCTTCCTCAGATTTGTCTTGACTGACAGCAGGTGCAGCTCTTCACAGAACCAATCTGTTTACGGAGGAGGTGCGACGTGAGAATGACGAACTGAGGAAAAAAAAGACGTGAAAACCGCCAACATGCCAGGAGCTGCCTTTAATGTGAACCCGTGCTACCGACAGGCGAGACCGCGGCGGCAGCGTCTGCTAACGTCGGTGTGTGTCATCCTTGTCCTCATCCTGTCATCCCCCTCCGTCACTCCTCAGCCTCCCTCATTCATGTTCTGCCAGGCCCCTGCGCTCCGCTCGGCTCCCACGCTCCCCTCGGCAAAAATCAAAACTACGCAAACTGTCAAAGGCGTCTGATTTCAGAATAGTTACGCATCCGCCTCCTGCGAGTCTGGATATTTAACGCTCGACCTTTTCACCCCTCCTCTCACACCAGAGACGCCACACCAGAGACCAGGACTTGGACCGCATCTACCGCGACATGGTTTTAGACCCGTGCGGTGTGACGTGAGGCTCGTCGGGTTTCTCGGCTCTAATTTAAGCTGTCCCACTTCCCATCATGCCTCGGGGCTTTAGGGGAATCGGAGACGGCGACGGACATCTTCGACGTAGTTGTGCAACTTTGCTTACATGCAGCATCACTGTAGTTTGGTGACCTTCTAGAAAGGTCAGCGTGAATATGGTGTTGCATTTGCATTTCAAAATTTTTCCAGAAAGATTTCATAACAGATGTTTGCAGGTGGTCTGCAGGGATTACTCCGACTCAAAAACAGGAACATGAGCAGTATTTGTGTGCTAAAAAGAACATTTATTTACGAAAACATATGTAAATCAAGAGAGCATTCATCAACCATAGAAACAGAAGCGTAAGGCAGTTTGGTACGATATAGTGCGATGTTGTGGTAATCTAAGAAGGCTCATCTAACAAGACAAACAACAATGAGTCAGGATATGACGGGTAGCCTGGAGAGAACCACAAGTGCAACTTTGAAAATACTGGCTGGTTCAGATGTAACATCTCGAGAGGAGGGACAAAAAAGTAATTTAATTTTCATCCTTTAAAATTTTAATTCCAGCTTTATTTCCCCAGTTTTCCCCCAACATTGCCTTTTGAAGTTGGGTAAAGAAGTAAAGGCCTGTTGAGATGAGAAGCCGCTCCAGCTTCCACGTTAGCGTCTGCATCAAGCCGTGTCACATGTCGATGTATTTTCTGCTCACGACTCTGAAGCTGGTTTTCCCTACCCATAAGTTTTTTGGAACTTAAGGGTAAATTTAAGGGTTGATAATTCCCAATACACTCTTCGACGTTAGATTTTTTTTTACTAGATTTCCTCGCAAATGTTTACTGCTGTTCAAACGAATCTTTTGAAATTTGGATTGTATTTGTGAAAACAGAACACCAGCAGGTCTAAATATGGTAGTGCTTGACCTCCACTTAGCATTTCTCAAATCCAAGAACATATTGTAAATTGCATAAGCAGCATTTGCAGTCTACTAACTATTATACATCTAACAGCATGTCTGAAGTCTCCCCATAAATCCCACATCAGAACCTCCGAAGACAGCTTGTGCATCAATACAGACACTGAAACGCCTTTTCACAGCTCAGCAGCATGACGTCACCTGGACGGCGATGCTTAACAAATACAACCACACAGTAACAGAGCTCGTAGATGTGTGAGGCTGTGTGGCTACACCTTCTTATTCAGGACGCTTCTTCATCAGTCTGTGGGAGCAGAGTCTGAACCAGACTTCTTGCGTCTTGTCAACAAAGCGTTTGTCTTCTCTCCTGCTGCTGCCTGGCGGTTCAGCTGTCAAACCTCCTCAGCCTCCTCTGCCTGATTTCCTCCGCTGTGGCCTCCTCGGAGAGGTTGAAGCCGTACGGAGGAGGAGCTCCTCTCTGGTTGGCTTGTCCTGCAAAACAAAGTATTTTAAGATGTATATACTGTACTCCTTTGCTTGACTCTTATCTGTGGTGACTTGAAATTGGGAAAGTTTTTTAAACTCGGCATGACCCCAGCCAGCTTCCATTCATCAAAAGTCTCTCTCTTCTGTCTCACCTCCGTCGTTCAGACTGTTTCTGATGGCCGCGTCCAACTGCTCCTCCTCCGTCAGTCCACCTGTGTACGGTGCTGTATGGTCCGTCGTGTGGTGTGGTGCATACTGATGGCTTCCAGAGTATCCTCCGCCGCCACCACTGTAGCCTGTGTTCCCATACAAACACACCCATACACAAGGTTAAGGCTGGGATATCGTATGTTCTTCTTGTTGTCAAAAAATGTCAAGAAAACCACAAAAACAACAATTTCTTCTCACAAAAACATCTCCTCGTTCTGACTTCATGTCTGTGGCACTCAACCAGAAACAGTGCGTTTGTTGTCGACTATTTTCAGCCAGGAATTAATACAAATTTAGTGCCCCAGTGAGTATTTGCAGCTGCAGCACTGACTCAAAATGTGTGTGTGTGTGTGTGTTGATGGTAATGAAAGAACATTTCGCACCACACACATGGCTCACTGATGTGTTGTGTCCTCTGTTCAGGTCACAGACAATAGATTCATCATCGTTTTATTAGCAGAGAGACAGACCTCAGGTGCTGCACAAAGTCCTGTGCTGCAGTTAAACAACTCATCAGAAAAAGCCTTTTTTATGCTGTAACTTTCACTGAAAGCTCTGATACCTGAAGATCCTGAAGAGTTGTAGTATGAAGCGGGCCGCGTGGTATATCCGTTCGATGTCACAAACGCTGGTGAAAATATGTACAAAAAAAATTATACATCACTCAAAGCTGCCTCCAGTGCTACTAGTGTTGTACGACAAATATAAACAAATGCACAAATTACCACTTAGCCAACCTAAATTATAAAGTTATTAAGAACAATAGCTGCCGTGAGGCCATTAAATGACCTAAACCACATCTAATTTCCAAAAAACTGCCTCTGCTACTTCTAAGGCTTCAGGAAAACACTATTTCTTTTAGTAAAACTTGTACCTCTTAAATCATTCAGTGTGCGTTTACTGGATTACAAGGATCGGACATGCAGTTAAAAAGGCGACACACATAAACTCAGACCTGCACATTTCTTCATGATGGGCTTCAGCGGTCCACTGGTGTAAAGCAGACCGACCAGGATACCTGCCAGGTGGCCAACGAAAGAGGTTCTGAGGAAGCAGAGCACAGATTAGCTTAATGCAGCACTGCCCTCTGGTGGACACTTTGATTCACAGCATCAAACCGCATTAATTAACAATACACTTTGCTAATCGTCATCATGTCAGTGGAGAAATGCAACGGTGAGAAACTCCCCAAGTTTAAGCATGGATCGGAACAAAACAAAACAATGTCCACTGGTAGGGTTTGTTCTGCGCCTAAAATGGTATCAGGTGCCCAGATGTATTTGAAAAAGCAGCGTTATGTGTTGTAACTCATCCCAAAGGAGGTACTGGTGCTCCTGTCTGGCACTTATTTGTGTTGTTGTCAAGTCCCTATCGAGCTACGTTTCCTCAGGACATTTAAAGATGTCCTCTTGGTGTCTTTCACATTCACCTGCAGACCTGACACGACTCTCTGGTCTATAAAATGCATGAACGCTGCCATGTCTGTCTATAACACAGAATTCCTTTAATGACTAATTGGCTTTGCTCACACCTGCATCCTCTGTTGTCGTGTTTATAGAGGTCAACAGTTTTTCTACAATATTCTCTGTAGTGGTGTGTACAACAGGCTCGTCATACTAGAAATGTAGGTGCTAGTCTTTTAAGCATCAGTAACCCCGTTGAAAGGTATCACCCATGTCGAAGCCCTCGACAGTTAAGGTGACTAGTGAATCCAGAAGCCAGGTGAATTTCTAATACAGATTTTTGATTGGTCACTCACCCAGGTGATGTAATGTGGATCAGGATTAGCTCCACCCAGCTAGCGTAGCTGTTAGATACGGGGAAACCATACACGTAGGTCACACCTCCAGGGTGGTAATGGTTGTTGAGCACCTTCAGAGCAAATAGGACACCTAGAAACACAGTTATATTACAAAGATCAATAAACAGGAAACTGCCACTTTTTGACAAGAGGTAAAAATAAATAAAATAAAAAAGTGTGGTTGACAGCACTCACACCTTCCATAGCATTTATCCGATGGCATTTTAGAAGTTTGCAGTGTAATGTTTTATACCTGAGAAGCCAACAGCACAGGCTAAGCTGTAGGACTGTTCCTGGGTGAGCTCTGTTAAAACGGCCTCCAACACCAGATAGACCAAGCCGGTGAGCAGAGAGAAGACCGACAGCAGGTAGAGGAACCAGGCTCCCCCCAGCCGGCGCTCCAGCCGGGTTCCTTTCCAGAGGAAGGACACCATGTTGAAGTACAGATGCCAGTCATCGGCATGGTGCAGCGGGGAAAGGAGAAGCCGGCGCCAGTCTTTCAACCAGTACGCCTGCTGGACACTCACGCAGGCCTGAGGGTTGGACAGACAGCACTTGTCATGGTTATATCACCATATTCTACGGTATCAGATAAGACAAGCCTTTACTCATGCCACAGGGGAGGAATGTACAGAGTTACAGCAGCAAAGATAGTTTTTAGATATTTAAGGAATGTAGTAGTTATATATATATATATATATAAAACAAAGACAAGCAGCACTTTTTTCACATTTAAAAAACTGGGAGCAGCAAATATTTGGCATTTTTGTTTGATAACTGACTTTTACTGTTATATAATTAAAATTGCTGCAGATTAATGTTTAGCCAGCTGAATAATCAAATAATCCATCAATCATTTTAAAGCTATTTTTACTGTGACTTTGCATACATTTTTGAACTGTCTAAACTGTCAGTGATAATAGTGAATTACCTTCATCAGTGGAGCAGCGGGGAACAGGTAAAGGTACACGTTGAGCCCCAGAACAGCCAGAGTGACGGGAGGGATGTTGTTCAGCCCCACCTGAAACACCTGAGAGGCCAGGAGCATCAAGCCCAGCTGGGATCCCCTCGGCCTGTTCCTCATGATGGCAAAAACCTGCAGAGAGACAGAATTTTCAGCTGTTTCTGGTTTGTATTCTGATCACTGGAGGAGCCTCGCTTTCACAGAATTGAGATCTGATTATGTGGCTCCACAACTCTGGAACAACCATTTATCAGAATTTATCAAGTTCTAAATCATCTAAAAGCCCAGTTTTCTTTTACATTAATAGTGTAGATGGTAGTTTGGCTCTCTAATTCTTTAATAATTACATTTTGGTCCCTTGTGTTTCCTTTGCTGTAGTGAACAGACGTCACTTTAATCAGTAAGAGCCCCATTTCAAATTACAAATATAGGAACATTTGAAAGAACTGTATGCACAATGTGTTAATCTGAATTCTGCCAAAGGATTTCTAGTCTAAAATCAGAGTGTCCAAACTTCAGCGGATGAACTTGTGTCAGACTTGATGGTGCGTTTACAACAAATTACTAGCCGACTCTCTGGAATCACAGATTGTGTGTTTGAGATAGTACCTCCAATTTAATTTAGGAGTTTAAGCCTTTGCAGTAGCAGCTCGAAAACTCTGGAATAACCTTCTTCTCTAAATCAAACGCTCCTCCTCTGTTTGACATTTTGAAATCTATGTTTTCAATCACTTTTGTTTATTCTTAATCATCTTAACATTTAGTATTTCATATTTATTTTAGCTCAGAAACTAATCTTACAAGTTGCTATGTTTTACACTATTTCATTTTGTATGACTTTTTTAAGTCTGCATCCTGTCTTACTTTATGCACATTATTCTGTTGCTGCTTAACTTATAACAGGTGCAGCACTTGGTCAACTCGGAAGGTTTTACATGTGCGATATGAGCAAATCTGATTAAACTCAAATTAGGTTGGGCACACACAAAAGGAGAGACTGACGGAAGAAGGAGGTGCTTGTCCTGATCTAATATGTAAAATCAGATGAGGTCTGAACATATTTCATAGTACCATAAGAACCATCTGTGCCCATAAATGTCAGTAAACCTTCCCATGGATGCTGTGATGGCGTCCTGACAGGAACACACTGACATACCTGTTCACGTAATGTCACAAATTTACACCATTTTCACAGGTATAGCCAAAAAACTCAGACACAGCAGTTTACAAGGAGGCTTTACAAACTTTAAACCCAGATATGACCCAAACTTAAAGTCGTTTTGAAAACTAAAAGCAACAAAAAGAGGAGAAATACGACATAAATACCAGCGAGGTGTCTCTGCTTAACGTTATTCTACACGAACAGTTAGTTTTTAGAAATTAGGAACACAAGTAAAAGTTAGTGTTACAGCCGTCAAAATACTATAACAAATGGGATGTTTCCTGTTTACGTCTAGCAAATATAAATACTAATAAAGACAAACGTATGCGCATCACTTACAGCAAACTTACTGTGAGTTCAGTCAGCTGTTGGGAGTCACTTCCTCGTCCTGGCTAATGCTAATGCTAACATTAAAGTTAATGTGAGTGTCTAACTCGGTTCGGAAGCTTCAGAGGAGTTTAAGGCTGCACGTCAAACTGAAGTTTCACTTATATTCATCGCATTCACGCGTCAGCAGTGTGTGTTTCTTGGTGTTTCATCATATCTAGCAGCTTCCAGTAACGTCTCTCTCACAGTTGGGGGCATCCAGGAAGTGACGCATGTCACGTGACAATAACAAACGGCCGTGTGTTGGCGCAGGCGCAGTAAGGGTTTTTGTTTTGGCGCCCTGCTGCAGCTTCCAGTTTGTCTCCTCTGGGATTTTGTTTTCTGGTTCTCCTGCAGCTCTTCATCCTGTGTTCTGTCCCTGCTGTTAACCAGCTCCTGTCTCACTAGCTGAGATCCTGCTGGTAAAGACTGGATGGATGCTTCTCTGTTATAAATATTGTGCTTTAAATACATCACCATAATATCTTATCACCGAACATTGACACTCGCACTATTTTTAATTTATTTATTCAGCCTTATTTAAAGTACACCGAGTTATGGAGGCCCCATTTACATTGCAAGAAAATAAAAGTTGTAAATACACAAATGAGAAACTTGGATGACAATGACAATAAAAATGAATGAGCCAACCAAAACAAGAGCAAAATAAGATTAAATTAAAAACCTGAATTTGCTCACAGGATAAGAAGAAGTTAAAAAGAGCCAAGCTTTATGTTGTTGCCTGGTGAGTAAAAGTGGATTTTTAAGCTCAGTCCATATCAGAAAAATTCAACCACTTGATTTTGTTGGATGTGCAGCCACATTAAAAGACAGTAATTAAATAAAGTAAGGGGGTAAAAACCTGTAAGGGTCCTACAAATATATAAAAAGTGTGTTCAACCTTACAGAGAGGCAGGGCCACACAACCTCAGTTTACAGCTTTAAATGATGAGTTTAATTATCACCTGAGTGATAATTAACATCTAATATGTATAAATAAATTTTACAATATATATGTATAAAATGTCACCATAATATAAAAGCTGCATATATTAATATTTATTTTATATAGGTATGTTGTTATATCTAGGATTAGCAGGTATTTTTTGTTATATTTTGAAGGTTTTCACCAGAAGAACAAGTATGAGCGTTGTGTTACTTCTGACTTTACATTGTTGACATCAGATACATGAGCCTCTAGTGCCCCCCAGTGGCCACAGAGAAGAACTACACCACGTTAATTAATGGTAGACAGCCTTTACCAGCCTTCAGTCACGTATTTGGTCAAATTTCAAGGACAATGATTTATTGTTGTTATTATTATTATTATAGTTATCAAAAGCTACCTAACAAACAGATGCAAAAGTGCAAGACAATATTATTTAATTCGCCACTACTTTTATTGCAGTAGTTTAACGCAGCTGATAAATTAAGCATACTTACCATTCTACAGAGAGACATTATCAACATTAATATTAGTATTATTTGAGGTTTGTTTAAATTGCATCGTGAACATGTTTTTATATTTTCTGGTATTAATGGAAGAGTTGCTTCATTTAATTTTTCAAAATATAACTGTTGTCATATGTTGTCACCATACTAGAGAACCCACTTAATTAGATCTGTTCAAGGTCCAGTTTATGTGATGTAACAATCACATGTATGTCCTCTTGCACATGTAGCAGTTGATGGTTTTGCCTGTAAAGCACATTAAACTGTGACTGTGCAGGTAGAAATATGAAAGTTTGCTTCCCTCTGGTGGCCATAATGAGGAACTATATCAAGCTAAAACAGGTTAAGTTAGATATAGTAAGATAAGCATTGTACTTCCGGCAATTATTTTCTAAATAATAACATTTTATGATTTTTTTTCAGATGTTTTATTTTTAGTAGTTTTAAATTACACGAAAAGTAGTAATAAACTTACAAATATAGACTGTGAGAATAAATGTGAAACATTCTGTTAAACAGCTGTAGCTGTGAATAACCATTTTTTCCTTTTTTTTCAAAGAAAAAATTATTAGTTTTTAAAAGTACATTTGTAAATTTAAACAAATTCCACAAAATATCAATAAAAATGATTCAAGTTCAATGCAGTAAATATATTTGCAATATTAGATGCGATTAAGTTCTATAATTTTGCATGGATTTGTTTGGTAAAAGAGGAGAAACATCTTGTATAATTAAAGTTTTCACAACAAAACCGATGTGTGCCTGTTTAAAAAAAANGAAAGTTTGCTTCCCTCTGGTGGCCACAACGAGGAACTACATCAAGCCAAAACAGGTTAAGTTAGACATAGTAAGATAAGCATTGTACTTCCGGCTTTTTTTTTTTACAGATTTTTTTAGTAGTTTTTAATTACACGAAAGCTTACAAGGAAGCTTACAAATATAGACTGTGAATATAAATGTGTAACATTCCGTTAAACACCTGTAGCTGTGAATAGCCATTTTTTCTTTTTTTTTAAAGAAAAAAAAATATTATTTTTTTTTACATAATTTTTTTTAAAAAGTACATTTGCAAATTTAAACAAAATCCACAAAAAATTATTTTAAGAAAAAATAGATTCAAGTTCAATACAGTAAATATATTTGCAATATTAGATGCAATTAAGTTCTGTAATTTTGCATGGATTTGTTTGGTAAATGAGGAGAAACCTCTTGTATAATTAAAGTTTTCACAACAAAACCGATGTGTGCCTGTTTAAAATATACATATGAGCATTTTAAATCAATCAATTATTATTATTATTATTATTATTATTATTATTATTATTATAAGCAATGTAACGAAACAGTGTGTATGAAATAGGTAATTTTAGGTATGTGTTTCAGTTTTCACACACGTCCCTATCCTTCATTAATCATTAAAGCCAAAGGTTAAAGCAGCCGCTTTGCCCAAACACTCTGGCATGAATTGTGAACACGTGTGGCAGGTGGAGTCCAGCCCGCAGCTCCACAGTGAATAATTCAGGAGCTCGGCTCGGACTCCGGCATCACATTTCTCCGGTCAGAAACTGAAACCTCCGTCGGTCCGGTTTAATCACATGAAGCTCCGAGTTTGTTCAGTTTCTGAATCTTTGCTGCCTCCAATGATCACGAGCTGCTGCTGCTGGAGAGGCTGTTGCTATAGTAACAGCGGCACGCAGGCAGATCCAAGGGGATCAAGTTACGGACAATTAGATTATTCCCGTAAAACACATGGTGCTGGCTTCAAAATAAAAGCCCGGCTGGTCACATCCGCTACACAAAACACAGTCGTTGGGCAACACTCAGTCTGCAAAGGGTGCTACTGGGAAACAAATAACTTGACTTAGAGTATAACAGAATGCACAATTACAAAATATATATAATGTTATTAAGAGACATATTAAGATAAGACAAAATTGATCCTGTGGCAGAGAGATTTGCAGCATTGTGATGCAAAAATGAAGAAAACCCCTTTAAAAAATAAATTAAAACAAGCAAGAAATATACATAAGTACTGTTGATATTGTTCAGATTCTTCTACATGTGCACCTTCACAGTCCTTACCCAAGCTCAGATATCAGGATACATTGCCATTTTGCCTTTATAGGGAATAGATGTTTAAAAGTATATCTATAAATATATACAGGATTAATGAAACACACACACACATCGTTAAAAAAATATATATGACCATAAGTATAACTGGATGGTTGTATGAGTAAATACACTTTAAACATCTCAACACAAATACGTATGTCTTTGATATAGATGGATAAATGAATTAGATAAACATGTATCTGGAAACACACACATGTGCTGTCCAGATTCCTCCAAATGTGTAAAATAATAATAATAGTGCACAAAGTTATACAAAACACTGATATCGCATCAATATTTCTATTATTTTTTTTTTTAAAAAAGGGAAAAAAATACAGATATTGACTATAAGATATTGACATTGCACTGATTCTATTGATATGTGGGAGCAGTGCTGGTTGTAAATAGAGCTCACCAATGGATGTATGGCTGTTTTTTAATCATTATTTGTAGTTGTTAAAAGACGACATTTCCAGGAAGCAGCTCAGGCCTCAGAGGAAACATATGACGACAGACAGCTTTGTTTCTTTCCAAAGCGTAGTAATAAATATTAATTTAGCTCAAGAGAATAGTGAAGGTGATGACGAAAATCTAGAGTGTGTCATGGTCATTTTCTTTTATTATGAATCACCCACCATATGATCTTAAAATGTGAAGTAGACGTGCAGAGGCGCTGTGAATTTTACTGTGAAGTCCAGAAGCGGAAGTGCGGTCGCTCGCTCAGTGTTCGCTTGACGCGGCGAAGCAGCAGCGGGAGCAGCTGAGGATTGAGGCAGGTAAAGGTGTGCGAGCGTGCGCGCGTGTGTTTGTATGTTTCTGCATGTGGGGGAGGCCGGAAGGGGTGACGGCGTGAAGAAGAGACGGAGACGGGAGAGAGGAGGACAAAGGAGCCGGCAGAGAGGAGGACGAGTCGGAGAGAGGGGAGGACCGACGGAGGGAAGGATGTCTGAGCGGATCGCTTCGTGCGGGAGCCTGTGTGACAGCACCAACCTGCTGCTACAGTACTGCAACAACGGTGAGTCCGGCAGCCTGCACACAGCTGCTCGGCTCAGCTCGGTCACTGGAAAACACACAGGCTCTGCATTTACTGTGAAGGATTACCTGGAGGAGCTGTTTGTCTCCATATCACCAAAATAAGAGAAAGAGAAATGATGATGTGGTACCTGTGGCTGTGCAAACTAGCCTGACTGAATGCATGATGTGTGAATGGCATTAACTTGCATTGCATCACGTTAAATAGTCATGCATCACTATCACACTGGGTTTCTTAGTTGAATAGGTATTTAAATATATATATTTATTTATTTTTTCATGTCCATTGGGGGAAAAAATGCTTAAAAAAATTCATACACTGCCACCAATTTTTTCAGTTTTTTTTTGTTTTGTTTTGTTTTTTTAACCTGGTATATTAATGGGATATATTCAAATATTTCCGTGAAGTGCATGTAAGCAACATCACAGAATCTCCTGAATTTATTTCAATCCAGAAATATGTCCTAAAGTCCAAAGAAAGACACGCATCTCTCATTATTTATATTCTACTGATGCTTTTCTCTTGCATTTCTCAGCTGCTTTGACAGTATATTATGCAGAAAATCATTTTTGTCCACACTTTGATGACTTATTTTCTGATATCAGTGCTTTTTTTTTGTTATAATTTAGGGTTTGAGAGTGAAATATATCAAGTTTTCTGAGCTTTTTCTAATCTCTGATGTAACTGAGTTCATCTCAAAACACTTTTGCATTTCTTACAACTTCAACAACACATTAGGACGATGGGTGTCGTCATAAAACCTGCAACACTTTAACTTTCAGACACACGATCCAGTTTCCACATTTGAATGATGATTTGTGATGTTGCAGCTCCTCCTTCCTGCAGCTCTGTGTGTCTGTATCTGTCTCATCTTGCTTTACAAATATGATGCAAATACAGCTCTGCTGCTGCTGCCTCCCCAGATGATCCCAGCGCTGACAGTGGAGGATTGTATGTGATGAGTTTTTAAACACATCAGAGGCCATTAGAGATGTAAATATGATCAGCAGGTCGGTGTTGTGCAGGTGAACTGATGTCCGTCTGAGAGAAGCGACGACGTCTCTGCGGTCTGTTAAACTTCACAGACGGCCATATTGAGCGGCAGGTGGAGAGACAGCGAGGGGTCACGGAGTCCGATCAGAGCTGTGATGCTTCCAGGATCTAGCTATCGGGCGAACGTTCTGGTCCAAAGCCTCCTGCAGCTCGTAGTGATTTCAGTTAAACAGAATGCACAGAATCTGCTCACGGGAAGCTCAGGTGATGCAATGATGTGCATTAAAGATACATATATATAAAGCAGAAACTGTGATATGAACGTTTCAGGAGCAGCTTGTTGAGTGACAGCTGGTCCTGCAGGGAGGTCAGCTGCTTAACTTGGGTGATTCTTGTGTTTTGTCAAGTGCATAATGCCTCAGGCTGTCTCTTTGGCCCTCTTTCCGGGAAAAAAAAACAGTTAAAATGTGCTTTTTTTCCTTCAAAATAACAGAATTTAAATGTGTTCTACTGTCAGCAGGCTGCCAAAATGATTTTATTCAGATTAATTCCCTCCCGGTCAAATTAACACGATTCTTCTGGTTATTTTATTTATTTTCAGGACATTTCAGGCTCAGAATTAGGCTTAAGTTATAGTTTGACATCAGGAATTAACAGGAGGGAATAAGGCAG